TACCAGGAATTTGTGTTCTCAGAACTGGTCTGTTTTTTTCTTTCTTAAAACTGTTCATGTTTTATGAACCAACACCTTCACCAAGTAGCTTTACAGTGAACTGCATGTGAGATATCAAATTAATAGCATCTTTTCAGTAGCATTAATTATAAATATTTAAGTGGTTCAATACAAGTCACTACAGCATTTCAAACTGAACTGTGAATAAATGCAATTTAAAAAAAATAACCACAGCACAAAATGTCATAAATTGTGTTTTTTCTTTGTTTCTCTGAGGATTATTTACAAACAGGCTTATTTACATATAGCAATAACTCAGAAATGAAAAAGCTACATCGTCTAACACGAACAACCACTTAGCATAATGATAATATATGTGTTATGTACAATGTAACTGGCAAGGCTAGAGCAAGAAAGAACATAAAGTTTGCAAAAGGTTTAAATAACTTCAAGTATCTGTCTTCAGATTACGTGGAGGTTTTAGTCCGATGGGAAGCAGATTTTAAGCGACACCGAAGATAAACCAAAAATGTGGTGGAGCTGCAAACCGTGTAGTGTTGCTGGGACAGAACAGGAGCTATAACCGTTGGAAAATACATCACAGACAATGCAACAAACGTGGAGACAGAACAATCACTTCTGTGATAAATGCCCACTTATTAATAAACTTCTAACAACCATGGGAAACCTCCTCTCTACATATAAAGTGATATCCAAGCATGGGAAACAAAAGACAGCATTTACCTGTTTGCATCCAGCTAGCCAAGCCTTTCTTGTGTACCAGCTACTTGTGAAGCCTCGTGTATAAATGTTGTCTTTTTCACGAGATTGCTGCGATATATTCAAATCGGGTTGGTCCGGTGCAAGGTCTTTAAGCAACAATTTATCTGCCAAACTTCTCCTTTCGAAAGGATTGGAGATTAGCTCTTGAACAGAATTAGCCGGGGACCGAGGTCCGGAGACTCCACCTGCACACGAAGCCATCCTCATCAACTACTGCGTCAACCGGATACGAGTCACTGTCCAAACTACTCACAGACTGCACTGGGCGCTGACATTGGCGCCCGGTGACCGTCATCTTTGACGACGCTGATTGGCTGAAATTATATTTTCGCGGCATAGTTTACACGTTACAGATAGCAACAGTCAGCTGCTGGTGGCTGCTGCTGCACTGGTTGAAGGCTCCTCTCTTAGCGCCCAGACGAGAGAAGGTGCATGGGCAAGGCCAGGCAGGAAACATGTGACTTATCAGTAACTTTAGACATCGTAACACAATTTTAAACGAGATTTTATTGTAGATTATACATTTTACTGATACCAATTATATAATATTTACCTTGTTCATTAAAAATAAAAATAAAAACATATATATTTTTTTAAACATATTTTTTTTTTTTAATTTTAATTTTAATTATTATTATTATTATTTTTTTTCAATATGGGAAGAGGTGGGGCGGCGCCCCTAGCGCCCCTATGGACCGGCCGCCACTGGTCAGTACTGATGAGCTGTGAGGGAGATGAAGGAGTTGATAAACATCTGATCAAAGTTAAAGTTCCAGATTATCAGTGGATTGTTTCTGCATCATCACTGACATTAACCTGTTAAGCCCTGAGCCTGTTTTTCAGGTCTCAGGCTCGAAAATGACATTCCCAGAACAAATGACCATATCTTCCCTTCTAAAAGGGTTAAATTAATAATCTTTTTTCTCAAAGTAATGATAAACCTGTGAGTTGGATGTAGAAAAGTCAGAATCAATATAGATGTTTTTTATTTTAAAGAAAATTCAGATTGAACATAGTAAAAAATTGTAAATTATAGTGTCCGTCCAAAAATTCTTTTTTACTTATAGTGAAAACCACCCTTGGATGATGGGTTAGTAGACTAAAAGCTTTAGGAATCCAAAGTACAACATATAATAAGTACCTTGTATCAAGATTGATGCAAAACAAGTGACATTTGACCTTTTTAGAGAGATTTAGCAAAAAGAAACCACTTCTGGGGTCATTTGGGTGGATTTTCCATATCTCTGGCCCCCCTTGCTCGATTTTGATGGTTGACACCTCTTTCTGACCGTTAGAGCCAATACAATCGAAGGGGGAGTCCCCCACACACACACGTTGTGAAGAGAAAAGATGGGGGCTTCGCGCATGTCATTTTCAATCAGAGTGAACCTATCTCTAGCTTTGACATCTGGAAACGGAAAAGCAGTTTTAATGCTTATGGATTAGACTACAGAGCCAAGGTAAAAATGTTAGCATTTTTAGCTACCTAGCGTCACCTGTTTTGATGTCCGTCTTTGCTTATAACGTCGCAAATACGTATAATTCAGTGGTAATGTCGGTGTCAATAGATTCTGTGTCACCTCACGATGTGAATCGATGTGTTGGATGAGGTGAAAAGATAAATAATAAGGTTTTGTGAGTGATTTTCGGTGCAGTAAGGTGTTAGCATTTTTCGCTCGTTGCTAATTCAGAGGCTCAGTGTTAGCATTGTGGGTTTTCTTTTGAAAAAAAAAAAAAAAATGATCAGTTAGATGAGTTTCTTCCCGTTACATGGATATAAAACATTCATAGTTTTATTAAATGAACATGCCCTCAGACACTGTTTCCTGCAAGATGTTGCGGCAGTGCCCCGGTACCGGGGTCTCTCGGGCTTAACAGGTTAAAACCCTGTTTAACTCTGATCAGATTATTAAACCTGGAGTTATTTCAAACAGGAACATTGTTTTCTAAAGTTACATCATGTGTTCTTTATTCAGACTGAGGGACTGCAGTTTGTCAGAGATCAGCTGGTCAGCTCTGATCTCAGCTCTGAAGTCCAACTTTCATCTGAGAGATCTGGACCTGGGTAAGAACGATCTGCAGGATTCAGGAGTGGAGCTGCTGAGAGATCTTCTGGAGGGTCCAGACTGCAGACTGCAGACTCTCAGGTCAGTTCACTGACTCTCTGTTACTGCTGGAGATCTCATGTTTCATTAGATATTCATCCTGATTCTTCTACATCATTAACTTACATCCATTCAGTTGTAAATGTTGTTTTGTTCAAATGTGTATTTCTCTTAATGTAGTCTGCAGTCATAACAGTTGATTGTTTCCTAAAGAAACTATTATTCTTCCTCTGTTAGTTGTTAAAATAAATGTATGTTTTCTTTAGTAAATGGTCTGAATAAAGAAGATCCTCTGAACTAATATTAGTTTTACATAAAGTTTACTTTCTGACATAGAAATGTTTATATTCCCAATCGTTTAGATGTGAACAGAAGGCTGATATAAAGATGATCCGGTCACTGTTATTCAGGGAAAAGTTCATTGATTAGGACGCAGTAATGATGAGCTGCACATTTCAGACTTGAACATCTCATTGGATTAAAGACTGATCTTTATCCTCATCATGTTTTCTTTATTCAGACTGAGGGAATGCAGGTTGTCAGAGATCAGCTGTTCTGCTCTGATCTCAGCTCTGAAGTCCAACATCCATCTGAGAGTTCTGGACCTGAGTGGGAACGCTCTGCAGGATTCAGGAGTGGAGCTGAGAGATCTTCTGGAGAGTCCAGACTGCAGACTGCAGACTCTCAGGTCAGTTCACTGACTCTCTGTTACTGCTGGAGATCTCATGTTTCATTAGATATTCATCCTGATTCTTCTACATCATTAACTTACATCCATTCAGTTGTTAATGTTCTTTTATTCATATTTTCATTTTTAGCTTCTAAAATAAGAACTGCAGACTTAAAGGGGACCTATCATGCAAAATGCACTTTTGTACGTCTTTTATACATGAATATGTGTCCCCGGTGTTCCAGGGAACTCACCAAGTGTCAGAAAACACAACCCTCTCTATTTTCCTCCATACCCAAATCTCTAAAAAAGGGGCTGCAACGGATCTGATAAAGACTTATCCAGATTTGAACACTTCTGTGTCGTCACAGAAGTGGCGCTACGGCTATTGGGCCAACTCTCCACCTATCAGGGGAATGTGGGGTTGGGCCACGGCCGGCCATTGCCGCTCGAAAGCGCTGGAGACGCTGTAGTACATATGCCAGGCCTGTAAGTGGCGCTGTAGTCTGCCACAAAAGCAGCGAAGAAGACTTCCCGCCCATAGTTACCATGGTTACCCTTCTGTTTATTCTCCACTGTGGCTTTTTTTCTCCCTCCCCGAGGCAAGCGTTTGCTCCCGCTGCTTTAATTCAATGCAATCCCTCCCCGTCGAGGCAAGCACTGTAATTCTCTCCGGTTAGTCCACCAGCAGATGACAAACACCCACCTCTCCGCCTCTTCCAAGGAACGAGGGGACCGTGCGGCAGAGTTTCAGTTTCAGATTCTTTCGCCGGTCAAGATGTCCGTTAAAGTTTAAATCTTCCGGACAAAATTCGAAAAGTGCCGGTCAAATGTCTTCTTTGTTATTTATTGAGCTTTAAAACAAATGAATAACGACTCTATATAATAAAACACGGAGGACGGAGATCTCTTTTTCTCCCCCTCTTCTGACAGCCCAGCAGCTGATCAGAGCACGGCTCACCTCTCCTGCAGGGGGGCGTGGTCAGCAGAATCAGACCCGTAGACAGCAAACAGCACATGATGGCATGTGGCATGGCTAAAATGCATGATCTGTTTGGTATTTTGAAAACAGAAACGTGTAAATATACCTTATATAGGTATGGCCCTAAAATATATCATTTAAATATAGCATGATAGGTCCACTTTAAATGTTGTCTGATTCTTGAAGGAACTGGAATAGATGTTAGTTGTAAAAAGTAAATCTATGTTTTTAATATTTAGTAAACAATAACGTCTGAATAAAGTTCATCTGAAGTAATATTAGTTTTACATTAATAAAGTTTACTTTCTGAAGAAGACATTTTGTTGTTGTTCCCATTCATTTAAATGTTGAGTAACATCTGATTATAAACTGATTTGTATCCTCATCATGTTTTCTTCATTCAGACTGGAGTACTGCAGGTTGTCAGAGATCAGCTGTTCTGCTCTGGCCTCAGCTCTGAAGTCCAACATCCATCTGAGAGAGCTGGACCTGAGTGCCAACGCTCTGAAGGATTCAGATGAGAAGCTGCTGAGAGATCTTCTGGAGAGTCCAGACTGCAGACTGGAGACCCTCAGGTCAGTAAGGGGTCTCTGCTGGTTCAGCAGTATTGCATGAAACACAGGGAGGTGTTTCTCTCACTGGGGAAACAGATCAGTGATGTTACCCACTGACTGCAGGCTCTCTCATTCTTCCATCAACTATAGAAGAACAGCTGAACATGCAAAGCCACACTTTAGTAATCCACTCTCTAACAGACGGGGTTTTACAGAAGAGTGGGAAAGGTGGTCTGTTCTTATGGGATGTTTTTAGTTCCTTGACTAATGACTGTTACTTCCTGTAATGCAGCTGAGAGCTGTGGCAGGACGTCGTAGTGTTTGCAGAGAAGATATGATGGGATGTAAAGCATGAGATCAGGACTCTGAAGCTGACTCAAAGAACTAACACTTATTTTAAACTGGATCTAAAGCTGTTGGATTGTGTTCATCCCTACAGGATCAGATGGGGTGAGCCGATCAGAGCCACGATCCAGAAGACCTGTGAGTACTGAAACCATATCCTCCATTCATCAATATACTAAACTCTTTAATGGAGCATGACCTCAGAGGAAAACAACACTCTTCTTTCTCTCTCTTCATCATTCTGGCTGTTTCTCTTAGTTTTATTATCATCATTATTCTCTCTCTCTCTCTCGTCTCAGGTGACAGGAAGTGAAGACACACAGAAAGGTGAGAGGTCGTGCCAAGTGAAGTTTATTTATTGAGGTTTCACCATGGAATAAATGTAGTTATAGCTCAGGGATTCCAGACAAACCCATGAACCCTAAAACGTGTAATTAAAATGTGTGTTTTATATTACATACATAATACATTATATTACATGCAGAGCCTTTCTGTTCAATTAAAACCCAAGGAAATAAACATTTTCAAGGTTAGGTGTTTACAAATGCAGAAAAAGCTTAATATTTAAAAGAAAAGGTTTATAAAAAGGTATAAACAACAACATGTATAGCCTTGATGTCCTGAAATAGCTGAATAATGTAATAGTTGAATGGTTTCTGCAGCTGAAAATAGGCTGAAGGAGTTAAATATCAGATGTAAGTAGTAGTGAATGAATTTGTATTAAGATGAGAAAAGAAAGTAAAAAGGCTTGGGAAAGCAGCAGAATATTTGAACTGCAAACTTTTGAACTAACTTGATGGTGAATTATCTGTCGCCATGGCAACGGCATTTGATGACACCCCATAATACGCTTAGATGTGTTGATGGCTGCATCGTTACCAAACCTGTGAAGTTTTGGGCCATTTCGAGCATTTTGACTGAAGTTATGAGAAAACCGTGTTTCATGGTGAGCATTGTGTTGCCATGGCAACGGCATTTGAAGAAATCTCAAAACTGTCTCGTAGATGTCTTCACGGCTGGACTGTTAGCACACATGTGAAGTTTGAGCACTTTTTGAACATTTTCAAAGGAGTTATACATTACATTAGGAGGTTACATTACTCTCTCTCTTCTCTTGATCACCCTCTCAATCTTCTATCGCCCTCTCTCTCTTCTCTTGATCGCCCTCTCTCTCTTCTCTCTCTTCTCTTGCTCGCCCTCTCTCTCTTCTCTTGATCGCCCTCTCTCTTCTCTTGATCGCCCTCTCTCTCTTCTCTTGATCACCCTCTCACTCTTCTATCACCCTCTCTCTCTTCTCTTGATCGCCCTCTCTCTCTTCTCTTGATCGCCCTCTCACTCTTCTATCACCCTCTCTCTCTTCTCTTGATCGCCCTCTCTCTCTTCTCTTGATCGCCCTCTCTCTCTTCTCTTGATCGCCCTCTCTCTCTTCTCTTGCTCACCCTCTCTCTCTTCTCTTGATCGCCCTCTCTCTTCTCTTGATCGCCCTCTATCTCTTCTCTTGATCACCCTCTCACTCTTCTATCACCCCTCTCTCTCTTCTCTTGATCGCCCTCTCTCTCTTCTCTCTCTCTTCTCTTGCTCGCCCTCTCTCTCTTCTCTTGATCGCCCTCTCTCTCTTCTCTTGATCGCCCTCTCTCTCTTCTCTTGATCACCCTCTCACTCTTCTATCACCCTCTCTCTCTTCTCTTGATCACCCTCTCACTCTTCTTTCACCCTCTCTCTTTTCTCTTGATCACCCTCTCTCTCTTCTCTTGATCGCCCTCTCTCTCTTCTCTTGATCCCCCTCTCTCTTTTCTCTCTCTCTTCTCTTGCTCGCCCTCTCTCTCTTCTCTTGATCGCCCTCTCTCTCTCCTCTTGATCGCCCTTTCTCTCTTCTCTTGATCGCCCTCTCTCTCTTCTCTTGATCACCCTCTCACTCTTCTATCACCCCCTCTCTCTCTCCTCTTGATCGCCCTCTCTCTCTTCTCTTGATCGCCCTCTCTCTCTTCTCTTGATCGCCCTCTCTCTCTCCTCTTGATCGCCCTCTCTCTCTCCTCTTGATCGCCCTCTCTCTCTCCTCTTGATTGCCCTCTCACTCTTCTATCACCCTCTCTCTTCTCTTGATCGCCCTCTCTCTCTTCTCTTGATCACTCTCTCTCTCTTCTCTTGATCGCCCTCTCTCTCTCCTCTTAATCGCCCTCTCTCTCTTCTCTTGATCATCCTCTCACTCTTCTATCACCCTCTCTCTCTTAACTTGATCGCCCTCTCTCTCTTCTCTTGATCGCCCTCTCTCTCCTCTTGATTACCCTCTCGCTCTCTCCTCTTGATCGCCCTCTCTCTTCTCTTGATCGCCCTTAATTGTTACAGCTCAAATGCATTGCAATGACTTCCATGTTAAAAAAAAGACTTTAAAAAGCTGAATGTTTTAAAAAGTATAACATATTTTGAAAAAGTTGAAAGTTTCCCATCATGTGCTGAAAAGGCTGAATAGTTTGATATTTGAATGGTTTCTGTAGCTGAAATTAGGCTGAAGGAGTTAAATAAAGATATTAAATGTAAGTAGTAGTGAATGAATGTTTACAAACACATGTGTGTGTAAACCCAGAGATGAAAGGTTACCATGGTGACGACTTATGACGATTTACCAACTGCAGCACTGAGTCCCATTAAGAATGCATTGAGGATTATATCTGACAATTTTGCCACCTGTTCAAAAACTATGGCTCCTATCAAAAAATTACCAGACCGTGATTATCAGGGAACCCCAATAAACTGATATATGTTGTTTTTTTTGGTTTTGTGTGTAAAATGTGGAGATGGGAGCAGTTTGTCTAAAGTATACTTCTCTCTGTTCTGAAGAAAGTTCCGGAAAGATTTAACATGGGAATCAATTGGGAGCTAGGTGGACTTGTTGTCTCTTCATGCCCTCAAGAGGCATTTTGTTTAATATTTTTTCTTAATTTTTTTTTATTTTCCAACCTAGGAGAGGTTTTCCTACGTTTTTCATGAAAAAATATGTCTGAGGAGTGTAGGGTTTGGGAATGATGGCAAGTTTAAAACATTTTTTGGGGAGAATTTGAAGCAGGCTAAGTGCCTTACTCAAGGGCACACTAGTAGTGGTGTTCCAGGCGGGATTTGAACTCGCAACCTTCCGATCATCAGCCCACCTCACTATCAATTAGACCACCAAAATAAAAATCTATTCCATTTGTGGCGGACGATATTTAATTGTGGCGACTGGTGGCTGAACACGCCTTGAAATGGGAAATAATGAGCTCTAACGAAGAGTGGGATTAAAGGAACAATAAATATGCCATTTTGTGTTTTTGGTGGTCTTTGGTTGTCAACCTATTTTTGTTTGTGAAATGTTGAAGTGATCCTACTGACTGTATCTTTATTTCTTCTGTTTTTGTCTGTGATGGGAATGTCATCTCCTATATGTTATTGTTATGTCCATGTTTGTGTCTTTAGCCTGTACAAAATAAAATCTAATATTTTAAAAATGTTGGCGGCCCACTTGCAATGCCTTCACGGACCACTAGGGGGCCGCGGCCCACAGGTTGGGAACCGCTGCTCTAGAGTTTATGGTTCATAGAGTCTCAACAATTTGTCAAATGATAGACACTATAAGACACCAGTTATATTGATTAATAACACTCCATTCAAAAGCTTAAAAACGGTTTCTTTGGCAATTAAATGTTGATAAAGACTGCAACGCTATGCAAAGGAAAAGCAATCTCCCTTCAATCAGAAGTACTAACACATTATACGGTAATGTAGAAGCGCCCTAGAGCCGGCGAAGCGTGAGGAGAATATGTCAGGACTTGTGCGTACATCATTTGTTTTGATCAGGGTTGAAATACTTTGCTCAGTTTGCATTTGAGAGACGGGCAAAGTTCACAAAAACAACAGTACGCCTGAGTGAAGGCACTTCACTTGGCAGCCAGTGAGTAGGATGATATGTGGAAGTGTGTGTTTGGTGAGGAACAGCATTAGTATTATCAGTCTTTCTGTTATTTAGTCCACACTGGTGCCCTCCACCTCCATCAGCTTAAAGGATGTTTGCACGCGCCACTTTGATGTGCATGTCGGCAGCGTTTTATCACACACTGAGAGAGCTTCTGGTCTGAATTCCCTTGAAGAAACATTACAATATGAATGAGATCTATTGCACGGTAACAATATGTGCTTGATTACCCCGCCTGATGATCAGAACGACGGGAACACAGCGGGATTTCAAAGTTCCCTAACAAAGATTTAGAGCCGCCTAAAAAAAGAACCGCGTTGACCCAACCTCTGAGAGTGAAACAGGAGCATGCAATCGAGCCCATATGTTAGCACCACAACAACAAGTCTCTGGGGGGGGGGGGGGGGGAGGCTTTGTTTTGCATGCTATTGTTGCAGAGCATTCATATTCAGGAGATGCTTGGCAGACTCTGAGCAAGCTAGATGGCCCTAAAACCCCATTACGCACAGTGAAAACATGACTTGTGTGTTCCCGAGATGCAATATTCTGTGCAGCTTGTTGCTATGGTTTTCTGTGAATGTGGTGCCTGTGTTTCTATTTTGCAAACTGTATTAACATCAGTCATTACTTGGAGTAAGGTCCAACAACATGATGCCATTTCACTCTTGGCTTAAGCATGTTGTTCTTTAATTAGAAGAAGGAACATTTGATCTGCCTGCAAACCGAGCTGAGAGAATCACACGATGCTGAACATGTCTGTGGTAGCTTTTTCAGTTTTAAATAAATTGTCCAGTGCAGTGGTAACCATGTTCTGGCTGATTACTAGTTAGCTTCTACTTCTGCTGTTCTTGCTGTGTTTTAGAGACTCAAACTGCATTGAATACATATAGTAAGAAATCATATCTGTCTGGTAAGAAGCCAAAAACAACTAGCGCTGTTGATATAAATGAATGACAGAGCAGTAAACATAATATATAAACCAGGGATTTGTATGTAATCAGACTTTAATACATGGGGTTTTCTTAGATTATGTTAAGCATATACATATATATATTTTGTGCTTCATGTTTATTGATTATCTACAGGCTCTGGGATTACATGTAATTATGTAATCAGGATACAAATAAGGGTAACTGTACTCCCTTACATGACTAATACTCTGTTAGAGTACATTTTAAAATAAAGATTAATATATTATAGGCCCAAATTTGGATTTCATTTAGGCTTCTTTCATTCCTCTTTTATCTAATTTTAACGCACTAGGTCGACACCTGATTTATAAAACAAAAATACTGTGTTTTTCTAAGGTTGCATTGTTCTGTTGTCTTAATAAATAAAACACATATTTTGTCTCAATTTGCATTACTGTGATATTAAGGTTATACAAAAGCAATGGAAAGTAATAATTACTTACATTTTTGTTTGGGTAACAAGTCATTTTAACGGAATAAATGTCATAACCCTTATTTTATTTGTAATTGTTAGCTCTATTCCACTTTTTAAGTATTTGTATTTTAATGTTGAACACACTGGTCCTGTAACAAAATAATTTCCCAATTAGGGATTAATACTGGGCATAAAATACACAGTTTTCACACACACATGTATATAATATGTACCTTAGGCCGGTGGTTA